GGAGTTTAGTTTTTTTTCTGTTTTGTAAGATATGTTTTGTTTTTATTTCTGCTTTTTTCCTTATTCCTTTTATCTATTTCTTTGTTTTCTTGTCTGTATTGGTGGGTCTCTAACATAATATGCATGTGCTCAGCCTCAAGGTGTTTTGTACATTATTGGGGAACTGGATGTAGTTGGAGACAGGGAAATACCCATTCAGGGTGAGATTGCTACTTTGTGCTTAATTTCCTGCTGACTTCAGGTAGACCTTAAAGTTCATAATCATGAGCATCTCATTACTATGTATGATATGAAAATCACATGTTACTGCTAATCAATAGAGTCATTAGTCGACAGAAATCCCACCTGAACTTTCTTTCCCAGATTCATTCATTTATTCTCTATGATTGGACTAGATAACTTTCCGGTTTCTCTCAACTCAGATAATCTGAATTTCTGTCACTGGATTTCATTCTTTCTTTTTGATACTATTTAAAAGACATAAAAAAAATTAGAGGATGTAAAATCATTGTAGTTCAGTCAAGGAAGAAGAAATCAGTTCATACGAGGTCTCTTCTGTCATATCTGTGCAGTCATATTAAATCCGTGCAGTTAGAGTATAATTTGATATTTGGGAGACTTGACCATTTACACAAATATAAAATGACACCCACTCTGTGAAGTACAAAGGTTTATGGTCTCATTTCCTTAGATACGGTGAATTATTTTGATAATATCTCATCTTTTCTGCAGAACAGTAGGTTCTTAGCAGAACTATAAAAATTTGTATAAGTGGGCTTTGATAGACCCTGCACAACCTTTAAAAATGTGTTATTATTTATTGTTTTCAAGTAGCAGTGGTAAACCTCACAGTTTTTTAAAAATCTTTTTTGCAGACATATGACCTTCTGTGTTAAAAAGCACTTTGAGGCCGGGCGCTGTGGCTCACGCCTGTAATCCTAGCTCTTGGGAGGCCGAGGCGGGCGGATTGCTCAAGGTCAGGAGTTCAAAACCAGCCTGAGCAAGAGCGAGACCCCGTCTCTACTATAAATAGAAAGAAATTAATTGGCCAACTAATATATATATAAAAAATTAGCCGGGCATGGTGGCGCATGCCTGTAGTCCCAGCTACCTGGGAGGCTGAGGCAGAAGGATCACTCCAGCCCAGGAGTTTGAGGTTGCTGTGAGCTAGGCTGATGCCACGGCACTCACCACGGACAGCAGAGGGAGACTCTGTCTCAAAAAAAAAAAAAAAAAGGCACTTTGAGAAAAGACTAGCTCATGGCAACTTGCTTCTATGGGGTTACCACTGTTGTCTCTGAAAGTTGCATTTTGTTTGGGTAAGTTCATTAAGCAGGAATTTGAAGATAAATATCAAAGATGTGCTAAATCAGTGGTGACAATTTCATGTACCATATTCTATAATAATGTCCTTTCAGAAAGCACATAGCATTAACTAGCTTAGGTGGTTTCATTATTCGATAGTAGAAAACAGGACTTCAGGGAGGTTATGTGATTTATCTCGCTGTCTCAGTGACTTGGTAAGAAGAGAAACCTGTTAATAGCCAGGCCTGTGATCTTCAAGTGAAGTTTAGTAGTCCAAGGAGCAGTGCATACTCCCTGCATTTCCCTTTAGAGCCTATGATTGTGAAAATGTTACTTATGATTTACCCATAGATATTTATGCACATTCACTTCTCATCAGAATATGTTCTGGATCTTTCATGTGGACCTCAAAGCTTTATAACATAAAAACCAAAACAAAAAATCCTGTTATCCAAGCAAGCCTCTCTCCCTCTCTCAGAAAAATACTTCATGATAAAAACAAAAGTACATGAATGGTAACTGAAAAAGCATTACTTCCTTCTAGAAAACCACTAGGATTTGCATAAACCACTTGACTGTCTGGCAAATGATTATGATTATCTGCTCTGTCAGTCCCTGAGGATTTTTAACATTAGGTTATTTGTATTTTTATAGAAAAGGAAAGTTCTACATTTGAAGATTGATATTGTTAAACTCTTCAAATAATGGCAGTTTGTAAAACTGGACATTACGAAAGTCTTAAAAAAGTTAATAAAAACATTACATCTCTTCTGTATTATAATAATCACATGAATAAAATTAAAGGCCTTGAAGGATTTTGAATTTGTGCTGGTACAGCCTATTAATTGTTTGCCATTAGTACCACTGAGATGTGTTAAGAGGAAATACAATATACCAATCTGAGAACTGGAAAGGAAATTTAAAGGAATTTCTGTTATCACACTTACAGCATTCATGAGAAGATACAGCAACAGAAACCACAACCTGGATGCTTCTCTTTGGTATTTGTTTGCTGAAGTAGATTACCAGAGATAGTTTGAGGAAGAGATTTAATACAATACACTGTTAGAATTTTGCTGGGCTCCAATTCTGGAAAAGCAGACTGACATTGAAATTCTTATAATCAAGTACATGTCCTACTGATAGTGAAATAATAGCCACCTTTGGGTTTATTTACTGTTATTTATTATCTAGCTACTGGAAGCATAATTTATTAAGCTTTACATTGCTGAAGCCTGGCAGTGTTACAGGTAAATTGCATAAGCCATAACTGATGCTTTTTTGTATATCTAATTTTTCAGGTACAAACAGCTTGAAACAGTTTCTTTCATTCTTAAGTTGGTACTCAGCTATGCTTTTAATTTTTGCTCAGTCCTCTACAACACTATGCTTTATCTAGAGTTGTAATGCATAGGGAATTATCTTGATTTATATTTAGGTAACATCAGTGCCTTCAAAATAGTGGTCACAGTCATAACAGGTCTTTGTGTGGGCAGATGACAGACTGCTAAGACTGATTCATCATCATTATGATGGCTGACACTTTTTGAGGTGCCACACATACTCATTTAATCTTCATAGCAATCCTGTGAGGTATGTGTATCTTCGCAGTTCCCCTGGGGTCAGATGCGTTTCCAAATTCAGAATTTTTTGGAATTTAGAAAGATAATCAGTGCATATACCATGTATTAAAGAGAACCTCCAGCGGGTCTTAGAAAAGCACCTCATATGCAAGCCCATTAGTATTTCTGCAGGGAAACATATGAATAGTAACAATGAGTAGACTAAATAAAAGCCATAAATACTCTCAGTGTTGGTTCAATCAGATTTCGCCACCAAATGCATTTGAGCATCATCTTCTGAAAACACGTTTTTCTTAGCTTTTTGGTATTTTGGAATTGAGGATAAGGAAATATAGGCCTGTACGATTATAATAGCATTTTATAGGTGAGGGAAAACTGAGGTCATGTAACTTGCTTAGTGCTACAGAGTACGTGGAAGTCCTGGGGGCCGTGACTGACTATATAGCCATTGAAAGAATAGGCTAGACGTGTACATTCTGAAGTTGTGATATGTTCATCATAACTTGTTAAATGAAAGCTGCAAAGACTAACATACATAATATGTTACCATTTTTAGAAAAAATTTCTATCATTCTGAATAAACATTATAGAGAAAGATTTAGAAATATATTCATTAAACTCTTGATAGAATTTACCTCTGATGATTGGAATTGGCAGGATCAGGAGATAATTAAGAGTGTCTTCACATTTTTCTGTTATATATCTGTGTCATTTGTATTTTTTAAATGACGAGTAAATATATAAAGGAAAAGTGGGAGAAAAAGTTAACAGATAACAGAATTTTACTCATTTCAGAAAAATAGAAGGAAGCTTTGTGCTCTCTTCCTACCATGTAATAGTATTGGAGAACTGCACCTTTATATTGTTTCTCACGCATTCTACTGGCCACTTAAGCAGTAATTACTCTTCTGTAGATAGCCAATTTCCTCAAAGCGATGTAAGAATAATATTTTATAGAGAATGAATGAGTGGAGTTTAACAACTCCATTTTGTTTGCCTGCCGCTCACCTCCTGCTGCGTGGGGAATTTTTTCCACAGACCGGACCGGGGTAGGGGTAGGGGTGGGGCCACAGTGGAGCTCTGTGCCCCAGTTCCTAATAGGCCACGGGCTGGTACCAGTCTGTGGGGCCCACAGCAGTAGAGGACACAGAAATATATGTAACTACTTCAAATACAGCATGATAAATGTAACAATTAGTGCAGAGGCAGCAGAGAAATTATGATGAACTCTTCCTGCGGTGGTGGGAGATGGAAGGGTAAAGCCTTCAGAGAGAAACTGAATTCTGAGCTGGGTTTTGAGAAAGAAATTTTTTCAGTGAATGCAATGAGAAGATTGACAGAGGACAGTATGGCCTTGTTCAAATATTTGAAAGGATGTCATGTACAAGAAGGATTGAAATTATTCTGTACAATCTCAGGGGCTAAGGAACCAGTTGAGGTAGCGTAGAGGGAGATAGATTTAGGCTCAATTTTAGAAGTTTTTAATAGAGCTGTCCAAAGGCTTCTTTGCAATGTTCAGAGTCCCCAGTCCCTGAATGTGTTAAAGCACAGGAAAGTCAACTGTTTGTCAGCAATAGTAAGGGGAGAGAGGTCACACGATGGATGGAGTCTAGGATCAGACTCCAAGAACTGGCACTTGCATGTACTGGCCCTGTGGCCTTAGCTAAGATTGTTATCATAACAGAAAGAAAAGTGCTCAGAGCAGCTTCTGGTACATAGAAACTGCTAAATAAATTGCTAATAAATATTAGCTATTATTGTTGTCATTGGATGGGTGATTAGTTGAGGTACTCTTTAAAGTTCTAACCTTGAAAGACTTAGAATTTCTAATTGTGTAATTGGGTAACAGTATTCTTGTCAATGAAGAAGATTGTAATGAGGTGACTGAAGCAAAAAATAAAATTGTGATACTTAACAGTTCAGCAGCAAAGTTTTATTCACAAATAAAACTTTATTTATGAGTAAAACTTTGGTTTCTTGAATGAGAGATCATTGCTGTAGTAATTGCCTTATTCTGTCCTTTTGGAGCCTTGGAATTCTCCCACCAGAATATTTTCAGAGGGACTGGTACTGCATAACTCTCTCTAGCTAATGTTTTTCTTTCTCTTGTAGATAAAGTGGCCTCGTGAATAGGAATGCCTGCCCAAATATCAGGATCGGAGATAATGGATGAAGATCGATTAATTGAAGAAGTCTTGGATAAGTTTGTTAATTGTCATGAGCAAACATATGAAGAATTTCTGAGCACTTTTACTCACCTTTCAAAAGGTAAAATGAAGAAGTAAACTCTGCAATAGTAGAGATAAAGAATTGTATTATAAGTCTTTGTTGCCTTTTCAGAAAGACTAATGAGCATTCATTCAATTCCCTTGATCAGGTAATTCTTATTAGGGCATTTGTGACTGCTGCATGTAAATACTAATGTCTTCATACATCCAAGAGGTCAGGGCCATTGAATTTGATAACTAAAAATGACCTGAGAAATCCTTCAGTATAATCCCTTCATTTTATTTTTTTTTATAATCCCTTCATTTTATTTTTTTTAAGAAAGGCAAGCACAAAGAGTGGAGGTTGTTAAAGGCATATTTACGACTTAAGAAATAAACCATAGTATAGGCTGTGGACTTACACTGCACACATTTGGATCCTGGAATCACTACTTACTTGCTATGTAACCTTGAAGGAGTGGTTATTGACTAAAGGGGAATAATAATAGCACTTCCCTCAAAGGTTGATGAAGGTTGTGGTAGTCCATTCTGTGTTGCTATAAAGGAATACCTGAGACTGGGTAAGTTATAAAGAAGAGAGGTTTATTTGGCCTGCAGTTCTGCAGACGGTACAAGCACGGTGCCAAGCACTGCTTCTGGTGAGGGGTTCAGGGAGCTTCCAGTCAGGGTAGAAGGCAAAGGGGGAACAGGTGTGTCACATAGTAAAAGAAGGAGCAAGAGACGGGGGAGGGGACACCCATGCTCTTTCAAACAACCAGCTCTCGTGTGAATTGATGGAGCAAGAACTTACTCCTTGCCGTGGGAGGGCACCAGGACATTCATGAGGGATCCACCCCCATGACCCAAATCATGGGTCATGATGATTGGGCCAATCATCCAAACCATATCAAAGGTTAATTGAGATAATCCTCTTAGCATCATGACTGGCACATAGATAAGTACTTACTGAATGCTGGATATTGTTATTGTTGCGGTGCTGCTGCTGCTGTAGTTTCTGTAGAATAGAAACAACCCTTTAGACTGGAGGTGATAAACTGTAGCCTAAAGGCTGAACCCGTGTTGTGTGTTTTATAATATGCTTTGTTCGCCTCATCCAGTGTTATTGTTCATTAATTGAGGCAACATTTAAAAGTTGGGGAATTTTACATTCAAATCTTGATTTGCATTTTTTTCTGGATCAAGTGAGAAGATCTGTTATTTCCCTCATGGCACTATAAGATGGAGTGCAGGAGCCCTTGCCCTGTGAGCTCCCTAGTTTGCCGTGCTCTCTGGCACTCACATAGTCTGCAAATGTGTGCATACGCTGTCTGCTTCATTCACTTAAGTGGCTCCTGTAGGCATTTGAGTTCTGGGTTCTGCTTTAGATTGCCATCAGCTTGCTTTCAACCTTGACCTTTTTGGGGTCATCAACCCACATTTTTTAGGCCATTGGTTCCCTACCTCATTGCACATCAGACTTGCCTGAGGAGCTTTTAGAACATACTGATACCAGCTCTGCTGGCACCAGGGAATCTGTATTTTATAAAAGCTCCTCTGCTGATTCTAATGTACCCAAGGTAGAGAACAGGGAGTTTCATAATCTCTGAGGTGATGACACTTTTAAGATGCCTGACTTCAAAGTCATCACCCATGTGTCCCAAACAAATGTAAAAGAAGGTTCCTTATAATGAAGAAAAAGAAACATGATCTTACCTTTTTCTTTTATCATGCAAGATAGAATATCAGAGATATCTGTTTGGCTTACACTTAAGAGTTTGTGTTTATACTTAAGAGAAATAGAGAATTTAGGAAATAACTAGTTAACTTTGGGGCTGTCTGTGAATGATCTACTTTGCCATAATATGTAGATCAAATTAATCTTGAGAATGGCCAAATCATCTTTTAGCCTATGAACCTGGGTTTAGGAAGATTCTTACTTTCTCTGGGCCTAATGATTTAGTTCCTGTTTTCTGGACCCCAACATGGCAGTATGAATGGTTGGGATGGTGGTAGAAACAAGGGTAAAACTGGCAGAATTAGTGAATTTTGATATGCCAATGACATTTTGATAAACCAAATTATTTTGGAAATTATCGGTAAGGCTGACTTTATTTTTGTACCTTGAAAGAGTAAAAACTTTTTAAGGACTTTGATATTATAAGGGGGTTATAATACATTTGTTTTTGTGATAAAGGGTCTATTCTGTATTCAAATTCTGGTATGATCATTGCATGCTGAGAAGGAAACTGTTGGAGATACGGTGACTTCATTTGGAGTTCAGTTTTGGGGTCCAAATTGAGCTGAAATAAATGATGATGCAAGTCACATAAACTGCATCTCCAAGCACACTAGTTATTTTTTCCTTTCAAAATATCCCTAGGCGCCAGTTCACATTATAAACTAATGACCTGAAAAAATTCCTCTTAAAGCACAAAGAATTGTTGAGTTCAAAAATGTGTCTTAAATCAGTAAGTGTCCCTTTCTTCCCCTGAAACATTTAAATACCTTCTGAAAAACCAAACAGGGCTCAGGGACAGGCCTGTGAGTTGAGTGATAGCCAGCAGAATTGATCAAGGTACATATGGTTAGTTTTGTTTGAGAAAGACATTAAAGTTATTTCTTCAAAGTTCCCATTTCTTCCCTTCTTTCTAGACCCTTCATTTGCCTCCATGCATTTAGTTGCTTTGCTGATAAACAGTGGGTCTTTTCTGTTAAAGTGGTTATCACCATGCATACTTATGTACGTTTCTTTACTAAGTTTAGTTTCTAAAGTCCATTACCATTTCGACTGATTGACTGTTCTATTTATTTTTATAATAGTTATACGCCAGAATGCTTATGGGATTCATTTTCTTTCCAAGAGTGTTAAAAGGGTCAGTAATCCTATTAAAAATATTTCCCTGGAAAAAATTAAATTATAGCCTTATTGAAAGAAATTTCACATTACTGCTTCAGACTCTTGGAAAACAGTTGGAGACATAATGTTGTAGCATAATTCTCGCTATAGTACATTCATATTGATCATGTTTTGCAGTTTTTTCTTTTTTAAAGCAACTCTAGGTTTTTAAACCATGGTGCATATTTGATAATAAGTACAGTGTTCTATCATAATGTTTAAAGAGGCATATTAATTATTGGTTTTAAACAGTTATAATTGAATTCTCAGTAGTGTCTTCAGTTGAAAAGGGTAAATCAGGTTGTAAGGTAGGTATTAGAAAATCAGCCTGCAGATCTTTTTCCTTATTCGTCAAGACATTATTATATTGTTGACATTATTGTAGGTAAAGATTAGCAACTAAGAGTCAATCTTTTGTATCTCAGTTTCTTTGTGAACATAATTTATAGGACTTTCTAGGATATCTGCCTAAAGGGAAAAAAGTCTTTTTTCCTCTTCTGTCACATTTCTCTCTCTTTTTAGGATATAAAACACAAATGTGAATATTTACATTTGATTTTTTGTTAAATAATTCATTAATTCTGCGAGTATCTTGTTATGGTTTAGGTATCATTTTAGTTGCTGAAGATTCAGAAATAAGTAAGATGTAGTTTGTGTTCTCAAGCACTCACAGTCCAGTGGGAGAGATACATAAGTAAGCAGGAGATTGAACTAATGCATGCTAATTACCATAATGGAGAGAAGCACAGAGTGTCGCTGTGAGAGCTGGTGGGAGGGCCACCCAGACTGTAGTGGGAGGGAGGGCTGTGAAGTCTACCCACTGGAGGGGATCCCTGCAGTGAGTCTGGAATAACCATTGCACCCAAACTTGCCTTGGGTCCCAAGACATTAAGTAGAGCACAGAAAGGTTTGACAGAAAAGAGCTGACAATGGCAGATGTTATCATAAAATGCTTGCATGGTCCTTTTGAGTCATGGTTCCATTGATTTTAGTACTGATATATATATGCATCTCCTTTAAACAGTAAGTCTTCAAGATGAAGATGTAGCCTTGCTTTAGTAAGGTTTAGAGTTACTCCTAAACTGCTGAAAGTAAAAGGCAGTTTCTTTTATTTTCCTTCCACACCAGGATTACCACATGATCCAGTTTGGAAAGCATTTGCTCCTACCTTTTAGAGTGTTAGTTTTACTGCTCATGTTTCTGGCAAACAGAAATTATATAATTAAGTAGTCAGGGACTTAGAACTGGACATTAAATCTTTTTAACTCTATTTTGTTAAATATGGTAACTGTGGGGAATTACGGTAGTTATTTCCAATTTTTTTTTTCTCTCTCTCAAATGCCAGTATTGTTCTGATTCTGTGCTTCAGGCTAAATAATTAATTTCTGTGAAAATTTCCTATCTTACCAACTATGCAACTTAAAATAGTTTGGAAATTGAAATGAATCTACTGTGATTTTATGATTAACCTTTAAATAAGTCTTTGTTTTTCAGCGTCTTCATTTTACTCTTAAAATATCTAGGATCCAGTTTTCCAAGTGAGTCTATAGTTTAACAGCTTTCTATTCACTGCCATATTTGTCTACTTTAACCTATTTTCATCTGTATTATCAAAGATTTTATTTCAGATTCTGTTGTTTAATTTCATTTTCTTTATGCTATTCTCATTTCACGACAGTAGTTTGTGTTTTTAGCATTCTATTGTTCTTTTAACATATCTTTGAAAAAAATTCTCATCAACTCACCCTCCCTTTTTCTTTTCACACTTGTTAATGTTTGAATTAAATTTCCCATTAGGTGTAGAACATTGTGTTTCTGAATGTTCAGGACAAATGTCCATGCCTGTGGATTTATAAACTGGTGCTAGTCTGGCCTTTGATAGTTTCAATCTTTTGGAGTTTCAAACTGTTGAATAGGTTTCAATTTTTCTCAGATTTTAATAATATAGTGTAATCATAGAGAGTTTAATCTATATTTACTTTATTCACATTTATTTATTTATTTATTTATTTTTGTCCTTTTTTCCAGCATATTATGGGGGTACAAATGTTAACGTTACATACATTTAGTTATTTAAGGAGCAGTGCTAATGCTTTTCCACTATTACAGATTTCAGGAATGTATAATTGCCTATGATTTATTATCATCCAGTACAGTAGCTACTG